TCTCTGAGCCACAACCCCAGTATGTGTTTTTAATCTTAGAGAAAAGTTGCAAGTACAATACAAAGAATTATTTCTCCAGCAATTTGAAAGCAAAGCTGACTGAATGTCATCATGCTGCAATATTTTAGTGTATATTTCCTACAAAGGAGGTGTTCCACATTATCATAATACAAGAGTCAACTTGGTACATTAACACTGATACTTTACTGCCATCAAATCCTCACCCCAAAATGTCTTTTATAGCTGAAGTCTTAGAATGTTAGTGCAACAACTGAGTTAGGAAATGTATAAATAAATAATTTTGTTTCACTCTCTCTTAAGAGGTCCCTCCTGCAGGGTGCGTGGTGGCACACACCTATAAACTCAGGAGGCTGAGGCAGAAGGGTCACAATTTTGAGGACAGCCTAAGCAACTTAGAGACCCTGTCTCAGAAAAAATAAAAAGGACTGGGGACTTAGCTCAGTGGTAAAGCACCCCTGGGTTCAATCCCCAGTACACCCTTCTCAAACTAACAAAAAAATTTCCCTTCTTTTCTATGTATTTAACCAAACCAAAACAAAACAAAATCCATAAGTTCATACTGGTATATTCAGTTCTTATCCAGTCTCACAAATTTCATTCTAGCCTTCTATAAGCTAGTCATTTCCATACTTTATTATTCCCTCCTCTGACAGGGAGAAACCTGCTCCTAATTTCTACAAATAGACTTCCTCACTTGTGTTAGTGAAAAGTAAATGTGCCAATTAGACTAAGTATTCCGTTTCCTTCCATTCCCTTCCCTTTTTTGTGGTACTGGGCCTTGTGTGTCATAGATAAGTGCTGTACTACCAAGCTACATCTCCAGTCCGTCTGTATGATTTTTAAAAGATCTTTTGTTTGTGGCTGTATGTTACAACTACTGAGTTCAGGATCACCTAGATTAGTTTCTTTTGACCCCCACCATTAACCATTTTGTCCCATCATCCCAGATGTGAAATACCCATAAAAACTTAAATGTAGTATACAGCATATAGTATAATTCTAGCTATGTAACTATACAACGATATAATTATAATCAATATAAGTATGTTAATTAACACAATGGTTTATAGAAGCTCTAGGTTATGGTTTCCATTCTGTTTTAATGTACTATGTCAGTTTTGTGGAAATGATCACAGAATTGAGAACTTGGAACTTAATAGGTTAAGTGTGGTTTTGCTTTTCATTTGGAATACACTTATGATCATTTATTCTTGCTAATAGACCATCTCTCTCTCCCATTCATTGTTGATTTTGTTTTTTATTTGAGCATACAAAGCATTTAGCATACTAAGACTCAAAACAACACTAAAAGGAAACTCAGAAATGTGAGTGCCTGTCCTTATCTGTGCTCTTCCCACTGGGTAGTCAGTGTCATTTTTTTTTTCAGTGAACAGGTACATTACAAACAAAGCTGCTGTGAATAACTTTGTGCGTACATATTTTCATATTATTTTTGAATTAGTGTATCTTCAGGAAAAATTTCTAGAAGTTGGGTTTCAAGATCAAAAAGGATATGCATAATTCGTTTTGTTCAATGTTGCCAAAATTTCCTTCAAAAGGCTTGGGCACGATTGCCTTCCTTCCAGAAATAGATGGGTGTGCCTGCCTGCTTCTTCATGGCCCCATCCACAGAATGTGTTGTCATACTTGTGAATATTTGCCAGTAAGTGACCTGAGAAATGAGAAGCCTTAATTTGCATCTCTTCGGTAATGAGGAAGTGTGAACATCTTTTTTCCATTTGAGGGTCATGTTTGTGTTTTTAAGTGTCTATTCAAGTCTTTCTCTTTTTTTTTTATATTTTTTTTTTGGGTGCTGGGGATTGAACCCAGGGCCTTGCGCATGCAAGGCAAGCACTCTACCCTCTGAGCTATATCCCCAGTCCTATTTTTCTATTCTTTATCTTCATCACCCCAGTTTAAAATAAATTTGGGGGGATATTAGTCTTTTTATCTGTGACATATGTTGCAAATGTTTTTTTCCCAAATTGTCATTTTCCTTTTGACTTACTTTATGTTTTTTAAACACCGTGCAAATATTAAAATTTATAGCTAGCTAAATTTTCCTCTGTTTGTTTTTGCACCTGGATTTTAAGACATAGTTAAATAACCTTTCTCTAACCCAGGTTTGTTTGTTTTGGAATACTGGGAATGCTAGACAAGTGTTCTACCACTGTATCCCCCACTACATCCCTGGCCCTATACCTAGGTTTTAAAGGAATTCATTATGTTTTCTTTCAGTACTTAGAGTTTCACTCTTTCAGTTCACATTTCTGATCTGTTTGGAGTCTGTTCATGTACATTCTGTGAAATATGGATCTAAATTTATCTTATTCCAAATTGCTAACCAGTTGTTCTAGCAGTACTTATTAAAAAGTTCCCAGCCATTTGAGATGCTACTTTTATCATGACTAAATTTTTATGCATACTTGGGTCTATTTCTGGACTTTCTATTCTATTAGACCAGAATTTGGGAACTGTGACCCATAGGCCCAAGCCAGCCATGTTTGTGTCAAGCTGGGTTGGAGCACAGCCATGCTCATCCGCTTGCCCAGCCACTGAGGCTGCGTCCAGGTTGCAGCAGAGGCCTGACAGAGCCCATGAGGCCTGTGGGGGTTGAAATAGTTAAAAGCTTGTTGAGCCTAGATTGGAATAATTGTGTGTTCATATGCTATAAGGTACCTCATTTTTTTTTTTTTAAGTTGTAGTTGGACACAATACCTTTATTTTTTATGTGGTGCTGAGGATGGAACCCGGGGCCCCGCACATGCTAGGCGAGCGCTCTGCTGCTGAGCCCCAGCCCCAGCCCCTGTACCTCACTTTTTTAATGTCTAGTAGGATTAATTCCTCCCTTGTGGCTTTCCTTTTTCTATGTTTATTTTTGTAAATAAATATTCCTTACCAGTTTGTTTTCCACATAAGCTTGGGTACCAACTTGTCTAGCTCTGTGAAGAAGCTTTTTGTGTGATTATGCTAGATGTGTTAAATTTTTGAATTAGGGAGAATTGCCATCTTTACTTGTCCTTTCCAACAACAAATTATGAAGAAAAGAATAGAGAAATCTATTCTCTAGATTAATAGAGAAATCAAAGAACTAAGCCACAAAACCATATCACAGTGGAATTTTAGCAAACCTTCAAAGAATAGGCCAGAAGTACCATAAATTATTGCATAGCATTGATTTTGAAAGAAAATTTCTTTTTTATGGGAATTATTTCTACCTTTATCATCTTAGGTCAGAAACTATTATTATTTTCTAACTTTCTTTTTTTGGGGCTTATTTCTTTGTGATCTGCATTGTCTTTTTTATGTGTACTTGAAAAGTATAGTTTCTGTGTTAGCATACTATATTTATGTATAAATAGTTTTCCTTGTAAGACCTGCCTCCAATATCAATTGTGTTTGTTCTCCTAAGTATTTTTGTGTCCTCTTTCTTGTTCTCTTGTGCAAAGAATATTTGTATAGTGTAATTTCAATCCATGTCTCTTTACATTTCTTTTTGTTTCTTTTCATGATGTATTTTCTTAAAGTTTGTATTTTTTATTCCTTTTACTTACAATATTTAAATACTTTTATTACCCATCCTCCCTCCCTTTTCCAGTACTGGGAACTGAACCCAGGGCACCGTACCACTGAGTCACATCCCCAGCCCTATTTTGTATTTTATTTAGAGACAGGGTCTCACTGAGTTGCTTAGTGCCTCGCTATTGCTGAGGCTGGCTTTGAACTGGCAATCCTCCAGTCTCAGCCTCTCAAGCCGCTGGAATTATAGGTGTGCACCACCACTCCCTATTTGCTTTTTAAGAAACTAAACTCTAGTTGTGAATATGTTGGATCTCCTTTGTCTTCCATTTCAACTACCTTCTCTCATTTTTTAGTTTCTTGGGTTTTCTTGCTTTGCTTCAATTCCTCTTATTACACTTTTCATTTGATTTATAAGTTTTGGGGCATTGTAATGTAATAATGTCATAATTTTGCTTTTATTTTTTGAGTTAAGTCAGTTTTCATTTTTCTATTTTTGGAGATTTCTGTTCTTAAATTTGAATTTCTGATTTAAGGTGTTTTTAAAATAATATCAAAAGCTTGTATAAACATATTTAATTCAGTTTGATAAAATATTTTTAATCAGATTCCATAAGAATCATACACTATAACACATGAAGGCATCCATTCTATATAATGAATTAACGTCTTTCATACAAAACTAGAATAGTATTATCTTATACCATCTTTAGGAAAAGTAAGAAAACGATTACCAGATCACTCATCAGGGCTTTACTGATGTCACAGAGCCCCAGACGAGAAAGTCCTATTTGGATTGTGGTTTAAGTTTTTTTTTTCCTACTGTTATTTTGTCTCACTTCTTTCATTGATGGAGTTTCATTAGCTTATTTTATTCTCTCTCTTTCTCTCTTTTGGATAGTTGAAGAGTACTCCCATCATGAATTCTTTTGGGAGGTAGTTTAATTTTACAAGATTCCTAGTTTAAAAGAATCCTTTGTTAAAGTGTAGTTTCTTTACTAGATGACACCATTCCCCTCCCTGGCACCCAAAGCAGGAGATGTAGGGAGGGGTTTGCATCCATTGAATGTTCTTAAGAATTGTTTTTTCTTGCAGGGTCCTAAAATACTCTCCTTGCCATTTCTTTTTTCCTTAGTTGTGTAGTCTTCAATAAAAGATTCCTCACCTTTCCTTTAAAAAAAAATAAACTTATAAAACTTAGAGCAGTTTTATATTCACAGCAAATTGAGCAGAAAGTACTAAGGGTTTTCAGACACCTTCTGTCCTCATACATGTACAGCGTCTATGCTGTCGCGATGCCCTGCTGCAGGGGGTGCATGTGTGACACAGCAGAGGAGCCTGTACGGACATGTCCTCATTGCCAGAGTCGTGGCTTGTGTTAGGTTTCCCTCTTGGTGGCCATTCTGTGGATTTGGACACATGTATAATGGCATGTGTTCACAATTGGTTTTTTCTTCCTTCCACTCAGAGCAGGGCATCAACACTCACCAGCTGAACTGCTGTTGATGACAAATCTTCCTGTCATTGTGGGCGTGTCCATAGCAGTACAGGAGAGCTTGACTCCCCAAGAATCCTGCAGGCTAGGCTTCTTATTCCTCTCTCCTCCTAACTCCTTGGCAGCCACTGTTCTTTGAACCGTTGGACAATGGTTTGGGCTTTTCCAGGATGTTGTGTAGTTCAGTCATACAGTATGTAGCCTTTCCAAGTTGGCTTCTCTCACTTAGTGTGCATTTCTTTAAGTTTTCCCTCTATATCATTTCATGGGTTCAGGGTTTACTTCTTTTCTTTCTGGGACCAGGGATTGTTTCTTTTTCCCCAGTCTAATCTGCTTAGCCACTGAGCCATATCCCCAACCCTTTTTATGTTTTTATTTTGAGACAGGATTTTGCTAAGTTACTGAGGTTGGCTTTGAACTAGAGATCCTTCCACCTCAGCCTCCTGAGCTGCTGGGATTATTGGTGCACCACCATGCCCAGCTATAACTTCATTTCTTTCTTTTTTTAAAAAATATTTTTATTGGGCTGGGGATGTGGCTCAAGTGGTAGCGTGCTCGCCTGGCATGCGTGCGGCCCGGGTTCGATCCTCAGCACCACATACAAACAAAGATGTTGTGTCCACCGAAAAATAAATAAATAAATATTAAAAAAAATATTTTTATTAGTTATAGATGGACATAATACCTTTATTTATTTTTTATGTGGTGCTGAGAATCGAACCCAGTGCCTTACACATGCAAGGCAAGCACTCTCACATTGAGCCACAACCCCAGCCCGAATTCATTTCTTTTTAGCACTGACTATTGTGTCATTATTTGAATGTAGCAGAGATTATTTATTTATCTGTTGAAGGACACCTTGATTATTTCCAAGTTTTGACAATTATATATAAATGTCTAAGCATCCACTTTTTTCTCGGGAATGATTGCTGGGTAGTGTGCTGAGTATAATTTAGTTTTGTAAACTTCCAAAGTAGTGTTGCTGTTCTGCACTTCTGTTAGCAATGAATGAGAGTTCCTGTTGCTCCAGATCTTCTCGGGCATTGGTGTCTGTGTTTTGGATTTTGGCTTTTCTAATAGTTTCATAGTGGTATTTCTTTGTTGTTTTAATTTGCATTTCCCTATTTACTTTATGGTGTTGAATATCTTTTCTTGTTTTGTTTGCCATCTGTATAACTGTTGAAGTGTCTATTAAGATCACTGGTTCATTATTTTTATTGCGTTTTCTTACAGAGTTTTAACAGTTCTGTATATGTTTTGGATAACAGTTATTTATCAGATAAACCTTTTGTAAATATTTGTTTTCCCAGTGTATAACTTGATTATTCATTCTTGTGACAGTGTATCCTATAGAGCCAAAACTTGAAACTTTAGTGAAGTCTAGTTTATCAGTTCTTTCATCAGTCATGTTTAGGTTCTTCCTATGTTGTCTTCAGCAGTGTTGGAGTCTTGCATGTTACCGTTAGATCTGTATTCTATTTGGAATTAATTTTTGTGAAATACGTCATTAGGATTTTCTATGTAGACAGGCTTGTGTCTGGACTGATGTTTTAGTTGTTTGTTGAAGAGACCTTTCTTCACTGTGTTTCTTTGGCTTCTTTGTCAGATCATTTCTCTCTTATTTTGCCATAATTTGGGGTCTGTTTATGGGCTCTCCCATTCTGCCCATGGATTTAACCATCTCTTCTTTGCCAGTACCACATTGTTTTGATTTTGGTAGTTTTAAAGTAGTCCTGAAGTCTCTTGTTTTTTCTCCTTTAATGTTGTGTTGGCTATTTTAGCTTTTTTGCTTGTGCATGTAAACTTCAGTTTGTTTGTTCAGTGTCCTCAAAATAATCTTGGTGGATTTTTTTTTTTAAAGAGAGAGAGAGAGAGAGAGAGAGAGAGAGAGAGAGAATTTTTTTTAATATTTATTTTTTAGTTTTCAGCAGACACAACATCTTTGTTTGTATGTGGTGTTGAGGATCGAACCCGGGCCGCACGCATGCCAGGCGAGCGTGCTACCGCTTGAGCCACATCCCCAGCCCCAATCTTGGTGGATTTTGTTTTGAGTTGACCTGAATCTGTAGGTGAAGTTGAGAAGAACTGACTTCTTGGCAGTGTTGAGTCTTCCTGTCCATGAACATGGAATATTTCTCCATTTATTTATCTCTTTGATTTCTTCTATCAGAGTTATATAGTTTTCCTCAACTAGATCATATGCATGTTTTGTTAGATTCATAACCAAGTGTTTAATTTTAAGGTGCCAATATAAATAGTAATTTTTAAAAAATTTTACATTTTATTTTTTCATTGCTGGTATATTGGAAAGTGTTTTATTTTTGGATATTAACCTTGTATTCTTTATGTTTGCTATAATTGCTTATCGGTTCCAGGAGGTTTTCTGTTGACGTTGTTCAGTTTTTCTGTGTGGACAAGCAAGTCACTGTTGCATAAAAATAGTTTCTTTTTCCCCAGTCTAATCTGCGTTAGCTAGAATTCCCAGTATGATGATGAAAAAGGTGGTATTTCTGATCTTAGTGGGAAGCTTTGACTTTTCACCAGTAAGTATGATGTTCCCTGTTGGCTTTTTGTAGATGTTCTAGATTACTTCTAAATGTTTTTCATATGTTTGCTTTCTTGCTGTAGAGTGGTTTTTCAAAACTGACTCTTTGCATCTTGCATCCTTTTTAAAATTCCCTGAGAGGACTCCGATCCAAGAGGACTCCTTGTCAAGACCTGTACATGTAATGTGATTGCATTGGTCAGTGTCTCGGCAGCTTGTTTCCCTCTCTTTTGTTCTGCACAGTTTGTTTTGGACTGTCCTTGCTTTTTTTTTTTAATATTCATATTTTAGTTATAGGTGGACATGATATCTTTATTTCATATTTATGTGGTGCTGAGGATCGAACCCAGTGCCTCACACAAGCTAGGTAAGTGCTCTACAGCGACCAGTCCTTGCTTTTAATGAAGACTTAAGACAGGGACATAAGGACATAAGTACCAGGATTGTTTTTTTTTAAAGAGAGAGTGAGAGAGGGAGAGAGAGAGAGAGAGAGAGAGAGAGAGAGAGAGAGAGAGAGAGAGAATTTTAATATTTATTTTTTAGTTATCGGCGGACACAACATCTTTGTTTTGTATGTGGTGCTGAGGATCGAACCCGGGCTGCACGCATGCCAGTCGAGCGCACTACTGCTTGAGCCACATCCCCAGCCCCCCAGGATTGTTTTAATTTTCTACTTTTGTCTGTTCCTTCTGGTTTTGCTGAGTGGGTTAAAGTTTTGTAACTGTCTCTTACTTGTGTCCTGTGTTAATATTACATATTACTTTTTTGGTAGAGTCATTAGGATTTTCTGTGTAGACAGTCAAGCCATCAGCATCCTTTCTGATATTTGTGTTTTTAAAATTTATTTATTTTTCTCTTATATTGCTTTGTCGTTGGCTGTGACTAGTAGATTTTATATTCAGTAGGAGTGCATGAGTGCACATTATAGCTATGTTCTTGGGTATGGGGGAAGGGTTCTACTTTTGAACATGAAGTATGGAATAGGTGTTTTGTTTTTGTGGAACCGGGGTGGAACCAAGGACCTTGTGCATACCACACAAGCACTCTGCCCCTGAGCTACCTCCCTAGCTGTAGGTATGGTGGGGTTTTTTTTCTTTTTCTTTCTTTCTTCCTTTCTTTTTTTTTTTTAATTGTGGTACTGGAGATAGAACCCAGGGTCGCCTGCATGCTGGGCAAGCATCTCCCACTGAGCTACTTCTTAAGCCTGCTGTATAGGTATTGTCAAAATATGACTTCTGTTGTATTGGGGAACCTACTTGATACCTCCTAGTAATGAGTGGGTTTTGAATGTTGTCAAATGTTCTAAATACCTCTGTTGAAGTCAACAGTTCTGTCCTGTTGGCTGTGTGTCTTTATGCCTATACTACAGTTTGGATTACTATAGCTTTGTCAAGTTTCTTCCTTGAAACCTAACTTTATTCGTAGTTTTCAAGATTATTTTGGTCATTCAGAGTCTCGAGATTCATATAGTTCTGGGGTTTTAATAGGAATTATAATAAATCTGTAGATTGCTTTGGGTACTGCTGACATTTAAGTCTTGGAATTCATGGTTATGAAATATCTTTGTGTCTTTAATTTGTACTTTTCACTTAAAATTGTTGTATATGTATTTTGATTTTTACAGTTTTTCTGTTAATTCTCTTCATTTCTTCATTAGACTCAGTTTCCCCCTGGTTTTGTTTTGCCACTCTCTGAAACGCTTCGACATGTCTCCTAGTGGAGCTCTGAGAACTAGGTTACTGTGGAGTCCTGGAAGCCAAGCAAATGAAGTTCAGCCAGACAGAGGGGCTGCTCGGAGTGGTTCAGAGGTCAAGGAGTGCGAGGAATGTGAATTGACCATTAAGTTTAATAACAATATGGAGTTTATTCTGATGAAAATAAATGATTAGTCAAGGAAATTAAATCTGTTCAGCCATCCATTTATTAAATTCACATTCACTTGGATTTTCTGGGTTTCTAGGAATCTGAATATGAAGTAATTGTAGACAAAGGTTCACTATGGGGTTGTGTTTAATAATAAAAAATGTAATTCTCTTCCTAGCTATATTGATTAGGCATATTATGGGATGAAGTCAACTACCATTAAAAAATGTAGATCTATAGTGACAGCAAGCCATGGGCTTGATAAAGGTGTTACTGAACCAGCTGTGTACGCGTGCAGTTCTCAGTCTGTGCGCCCTCGTGGTGTGTCGTTATCTCTGTGTCGCACACAGTACTTTGATTGATGTTTCTTTTAAAAAAATATTTATAGAGTGTGTGTGTGTGTGTGTGTGTGTGTGTGTTTGATGCCTCTGTCTTTTGCCCATTTAAAAAAATCTGCATACATGTGATTGATTTTTTTTCCGTCAAGTGAAGTTTTTTTTTTAATATATATTTTTTAGTTATAGGTGGGCAATACCTTTATTTTTAAAATTTTTTGTGTGGTGCTGAGGATCAAACCCAGTGCCTCATGTATGCTAGGCAAGAGCTCTACCTCTGAGCCACAACCCC